GCAGGGTCTCCACGTCGACCGGAAGCATGCCTCCAAAGCGCAGTGCGCGCAGTGCGAAAGCACCTCCGAAACCGCCGGCCGTAGGGCCGAAGACCAGGGCGGCCAAGGCCAAGAACGAGTCGTCCGCGCTGATGGAGGCCACGAAGGCGGCCGAGGAGGTGGTGCGCTCTCGTAGCAGCACGCCGGAGAGTGGCCGTCAGGCCGGGGCTCGGAGCAAGTCTCCTGACGCCGCGCAAGGCAAGGAGGAGAGTCCTCGGGGCCATAAAAGCCCGGCTCGCGACTGGGAAGCCGCCGTCTTTGACTGCACGATGGTCCAGTACTCCGGTGAGAGTTCACCCGACGACGAGAACGTCTCGGAGGGCAGCACGCACGCTGCCGAAGGCACGGAGCTGGCGGCAGGCGACATGACCAACGCCTCGGCCGACGCAAAGGCCTCGTCAGGGAAGGAGGCGGAGGACGCCGGCGACAGCAAGCAGTCGCACGACGAAGTCGCCATGGCCGACGCTGGGGTCGTGGCCGAGAAGTCGCCGAGCGACGCGGGCTCCAAGCCCAAGGAGGTGCTGGCATCCAAGCATCTGACGCTGGCACAAGGTCGTGAGCGTGCCCAAGCGTCGAAAGCGGCTGCCGCTGCGAAGGCCGCCGAGGCCAAGGCGAAGAAGCGTTCAGCTTTCAGGTCGCCTCGCGGCTCCAGCTCCAAGCTGTTCATCGACTCGGAGTCTGAGGATGAGGAGGGTGCCGTCCACGAGCCCAAGGAGCTCTCCAACAACCTCGACGAGCAGCAGCAGCAATACCACGCTGCTAGCTCGGGTGCGTATGCCAGGCAGTCGACTGCCACGACTGCCATCGAGTCTTCTTCAGGCGGGGATGCCACGTACCCGCAGGGCTACTTCCCACCCGAGCCTGGCACTGGTGCGCCAGCGCTGTTGGAGAAGCTCTCGGCTCCTCGTGGCCTTATCGGCGGGTACACCTCGAGGGGTTCCTATGAGCGTGCTCTTGTTGAGAAAGAGCCACTCTTTCTTGGCGACGTTGAAGTCGCCCGGTGTGTGCTACTAGCACCACACAAGCTCACACTGAAGGAGTTCACCACGCTTCGCAAGAAGCCGGAGGACAAGGGTGGACTCCATCCTGTGTGGGGTTTCCACTGGGTCAAGCCGAATGACAACATGACCTGGAGCGAGGTGGAAGACCTCTTCTGGCGCTACGTCCAGCGCAAAGGGTATTCCGACCAAGAGTTCAAAGAACTCCGTGAGGATCGCACTCTGTCCGCAATCCTGGACGTGCGCGAGCTCCGCATCGAGTTCGCTCAACTCGTGAGCAAGCGCAAGCTCCACTCGAAAATGGACGAGCTGAAGCAAGAGGCGAGAGCCAAAGCTCGTGAAGAGCGTGGGCGTGGTGCGACTACGTCTGCTACCGTGCCCCGGGTACCGGCCAAGAAGCCAAGGACTACTTACGAAGCTGCCGCTGCTTCTCGTCCCATATCGCAACAGCCTTCGGGCAGTCTGCCTGGAGCTGCTCAACGGGCTCCCACGAGTTATCCGACTCAGGGTAACCCCTCCACTTCACGAGCAGCTGGCGCTTGCCATGGAGCCGCCGCTCCCGGACGACTCGTTCCACGTGGTAGTGGATCTGCCCATTACGATCAAGGAGGGCCGGCGGTGGCCTCGCACGGCCATGGCTACGAGCCTGAGGCGACGCAGCCGTATACTGGGGCCCCGAGTCAGGTGGTGGCCCTGCAGCAAGAGGAGATTCGTCTTCTCCGGGACCGTGTGTACGTCCTCGAGATCGCGCTTGGCGTCGGCCTTGGTGGCGAGGCTGCCGCTCGTGCTGGTAAGCCTGGTGCCGTGGAGCGGCTCCGTGTGGATGTTGCCTCGCTCTATCAAGAACCTCGCAGTCTCCATGGCCATGTGGATCGTCGAGCCGACCTGTCGTCTTACGGCTCGCTGCGAAACCAGCTCGCTGGCCTTCGGGCCGAGCTTCATGGCCACGCGCCGTATCCGGAGCAGCAGCAGCCCCACTCGTATCAGGCCCCGTTTGGCCAGGGCTCGTACGGGGCCCCTGCGTATGCTGCTCCGATGTACGCCGCGCCGTCTTACGACCAGCGCGCGTATCAGGCGCCTTACCGTGACTCGACGCCGCGCTACGAGGAGCTGCGCT